GACAGTTGGAGAGTGGCTTTTTGTCCAATGAAAAGAGCAAAGAACGCCTTCCCAGCATCCTTGCAGATCTTCTTTCACAGCTCAACAGTAATGGGAAATGCTCTATTCCTATCAGTAAGTGTGAAAAGCATTTTTGTTTAACCACTTACGGGGGGAGCCTAGTTTTGGAGACGTTGGCTTTATATGCATAGCCGAGGTGCCCGAAATCAGACAAAGGGAACTGGGCCTTGTAAACAAAAGACTGTACTCGGAACAAAAGACCAAGCTGCTGGGAATTGCCAACATTTTTTCAGTTGTCAATCGCGGAGGAAATCCGTCATTGATTTGAATGATTATACCACTGTTTGTGGTATTCAGTGCGAGCGGATTACCACTGGGGACTAAAGTGCTCCTGTGCTCCAGGGATGAGTGATACAATACCGCTGCACGCTAATCTGGTCAGCATTTGAAAAGACACCAACAACCCATGGGCCAGTTTTGGGAACAAAAGTAATACCACACAATCTGGGCTCTCTTACAAGGCAGCAGGCCTGGCTGAAATATTCAGGCATCAATAGATGTTGCCTGTCAGGTTAGAGTAGCCATCAGACAGTCATTCGTGTGAGTGTAAACGTCCATTGAATGAACTTATGAATTTATGAAGAATTTTGGAAACGGAAAATCTTGAAAATCCCCTGGGTATACATGTATGTCATGTAAATTCAAATTAAACCTGGCAGCATATGGTTAAGGAACATTTGTAAGGATTGTTAGACATTCACAGACGTTCTGTGCAGTTTGCATGTGAGAAATGGAGAGATACTTTTGGCACTCCAAATGGGCAATTCGTTACCATTTTAACTTTATTAAACCTCAGGAAGCAATTAACATTGGTGGGAATTATGTTGCATGAAACAGAATTACCATAATTTTTTGAATAAAGGCCACGGCTTATTGTCAATGAATATAAAAAAAACCTGTGGACTTTTTTCAGATAAAATTAAAACTGGCTGAGATATTTTAAAAGCTTCACACTATGTTTAAAAAATATGTCAAATAAATTGTAAGAAAAGATGTTCTGATATGTTTAGAGACCAAGCACATGGGCGTTTGCAGGTTAATATCACTTGATAGAGGACCAGTCGAGTTTACTATACCTCATAAATATTCATGAGCAATTTGGGCCACATCATTGGCCAGTTGTAGAACTGATATGCGCCCAGATGACAACATCAAGGTGAGTGTCCAGCTTGCTACCATGTGGCATTTTTTGGGGGGAACACCTGGAACCTGAAATCCCCTCTGGATGCTGCCTCGTAGATACGTTTATGTAGTCTGTGACGTGATTGTAACGGAGCCAGCCTGTTGTAATCCTTGCTAGAAACGCAGAACTCTGCAGCTCAGAAACAAATTGTATGTTGGCCTTGAATTTGTTATTTTGTCAATTTGTTCAAGAATAATTTTATGAGGTGTAGTAAAACAAATATAGGATGGTTTATTTCTGGAAAGTAGTGAGCATTACTGGTCCCAAGGTGTAGGTCAGTAAGACTACTAGTACCTAGCTCTTCTTTGAATCAATCAGGAGGTAGTCAAGCTGACCTACATCTCGGGACCAGTAATTGTCACTAGTTCTCTTTAAACCATGCTGTATATGTGTAATACCAGACTTCACAGGCTGAGCTCCCACAGACTTCCACTGCTTAGCTACATTAGAGATTTGTGGCATAAATGTTGTGCACGGTGCAGAGTTACACCAGGTTCTATGTATGTGTAATTAGCAGCAGGTGGGAGACATACTTGTATTGTATTGGAAACTATGCAATAGTATCCGTTCTTCTGTTGTAAGACAGCACAAATTAAGCACTTTCCCATCATTAGTAATCTAGATTCACATGGAAACTTTTCTGAATTGAACAGGGAAGTACCATTTTGGATTTTTATGGGATTTCTGCCTAACCACTTCAATAAACTCAGAAATTGTTTTAGTAAAGACAATACCATTTCGGTCGTGTCTTTTGTCATAGATGAATCTAACACCATCCACTTGAAGATTGTACCCCCAACCAAAGATCCGCCGGCAGTGCTGGAGCACCATGTGCCCATGTTCCTGACGGACAAGAACGCCTTCGATTCTAGCCAATGGGACCTCACTTCACAACAGGTGAGATTCTGTGTGCTTTATAGTTCTCTGGTGGTCCATTTCTTCCGGGGTCTATTTTGTGTCTTGATAAAAAGAAGCACTTACTGCAAGGCCCTCTTTTCGTATGGATTCTTTTACTTAGATCAGGTGGTGAATGAAATTTTTGAGGTTATTAGCCCACATAACTTTGTGCTCAAAAACTACCTGTACACATAAGAGCCTTCTCAGCAGCACAGCTTCCGGAATCTATTGTGCTCATCCTCTGTTGCTGAAATTGATGATTTTTTTCTCTTCAGATCCTACCGTACATTGATGGTGTCAATCACGTTCAGAGAATTGCCACTGAGGCTGACGTAGACATCAACCTGGTCAAGATATGTCTACAAAACATGCTGTGAGTATTGGCCCGGACACGAAGCATGCCCTCATTGGCAAAGAAGAGGTTGGTGCCCAGTGCACACGTGGAGATCGTCGATTCCAACATCGACATCACTTATCATGTCCTGTACCAAATGCTCGTGAGCATGTATGTGCTTGCATTGAGCTCTGACCAAAGAACCATTGTTGCCTTGTAAATGCATGCCATCTTTCTTTGTTGCATGGACGGCAAAGCATGCTATCTGTTTTTTCCTGCCTGGAGCAGATCAATGACTAATGTGTGGAGCAGATCAGTGACTAATGCTGGCGCGGCCTCTTCAAAGCAAACACATAACGTCAAGGCACAAAGTTATAATCAGGAAAAGTATAAATGTGGAAGGAATATAAATCCACATTGACACTTCTTTATAAATTTGACCGATCCAACAAATTGATTCGCAATTCACCCAAATAAATTTAAGTTACATCTCCACTACACTTCCAGCAGTTAAAAACAAGAGTTAAACAAATCTTGAGAAATAAAGTCATTAGGAAATGCAGGTGTTTTCATTACATCATGGTGGTTGTTATTAGTAAAATTCAAATTCAAACAATATTTTTGAAAAAGCAATTTGCATAATGATCTGTGTCTTGTCGGTTGGGTGGAATGAGAACATTCCGCAGTGCGTAAGCTCTTTTAATTTGGAATTGTTTGCAGTGGCAATGAAATGTGATACATGTTTTATTTTATGTAGGATGTCAGTCCGTGTTGAAAGTGGGCTTACATGTACACAGCCTCCACCACATGTTTTCATGCTCACATATACATGTAACTACATGTAATTGTTGGTAGTCCCGCATATGCAGTGCGATTGGCTCACGTAATGTACATGTATACATGGAGTTATTTTGATGCATTGTATTTGTGTGACTTGCTGGCTTCATATTTCCAGGTACTACGGAGTGATCACGATTGTTCCCATATTCCAGGTGAGACTGTCACTTAGCATTCTTTACTCTCAACCCTAACCCCTAGTGCGTCCAAAAACTGAAATGCGAGGATTAATTCCTTTCCTTCCTCAAGGAACAAGCAATTGAAATATTACTACAATGCTTCAAGTAGTTTGTTGCTCTGAGAAATGTTACTGGTGGTGCCCTATTTCTTTTTATATTTGTCATTGTTTTCTTGCTGTGAAAAAGACTTCAAAAGAAAAAATGTAATGTAACGTGTGTACCCGTCCAATTTGGTTGTCCCTGGAACTGTGCAAAGTATTTTATCTTTTGTAAAAGTCTCTTTAAAACTGGCAACTCGGGAGTAAGACAGTGTTTCATAGTTTAAGAAAATACCTATCATGGGTACTTCTTAAAATTTGAAGTGCATTCCTTAATCTTTGTTCCTTCACAACACATTCTAGTGGCTTTCAGACAAAATCTTTGCGAATGTGTGCACAGTCCTTTCAAGTTGACTATGTCTTTGTGGCCTACATCGATGGGCTTTTCTGTCATTTTCTTTTGGCCTGCAGTATTCAAATGTGTACATCACACAGCCAGATATCAACAGATTGGTGGAAGATGAAGCACTACGGGAGGAGTGCATCAAGTATGTTACAAGAAATGGTAAGAAGTCAGGGGGCCAGAACCACCAATGAGTTTTCACTGAGCCAAAAGCAGGTTACTAACCTAATTGTCATACATAGTCCATCACTTGGGAATAGTTATCAGAATTGTTTTCATGCGTAAATTTTGCTGAGCATTTTTCCATTTGACTGACAGCTCTGTTACTGTTATGTGCCGAACTCTGTAGCTAATGATTGATATATGTATCAAGTACTGTTAAGGTCAAAAGTTTACGTACACCTGGGCTGCAAGTGTTTCATTACAAGTTTGAAGACTTTATTCCTGGTAACCATTCCTTATCTATGGCTGATCCGTCAAAACATCTACTCTACTACGGTGCTTTATTAGCAGGTTTATTTAAATAAAGCGAATGTGCTGGCTGATCAGCTACAGAAAGAGAATAGTTGCCAAGAATTTGCAAAAGTCTTGGAAAAATTGTAATTCAGCACTTTCGGCCCGTTAACATCCAAGTGTACTGAATGTAAACTTTCAACCCCTAAGTGTATTGCGTTCACGGTAGTAATGTTGGTGAGTTAAGTTCCTGCCTACCAATCTGAATATGTAGATTATGCTACTTTTCAGGCATTGTAAGAACAAAAGTGTATTGATACAGTAAAGAATTAATCACAGCCAACTGAGAGCCACCCACTGGATAATAACCCATGTAATGACCAGTCTTGTCTTGTTCCCATCCTATTCAGAAATGGCCAGCCCTGCTACACTTCGGTCCATTATACACCTTTACGGTAGCCTTAGGTCGGACATAAGCGTCAAAGATCTGTGCCTTCGGTTTGACCCGAGGTCTCTGAACATCGATGAGAGGTCAGTGTTCCAACATTGAACATTCCAATATCAACTTGTTTGAGTAAACCACTTACTCATCCCCAATGGGAATTGACCCATGGGAAATTTTAAAACTAGAAACTCATTGATCATTTCACTTTAAGTACCCTCAGTTTTAATTTGGCCATGATTGTTGAAATCAAGAACTTGTCAAGCATGGCTCGGTGCTGATTTGGCAAGGACAAGACTTGAAGTCGTGGAAAATGGAACTTATATAGCAGTGCTTCAGCTGTAGATACCGGTAACTCAGGACTGCAAAACACATTTCTAAAATAGAAATCAAGATTTTATGATAAAAGCATGCCTGGTATGCTCAGCTGAGTTTTTCTTTTTAAAATTAAAATTTTTCCATTGAATAATTCACAAAGCAGTTGTTTTCTGACCAAAACCTCCAGCTGTGTTCATAACAAGTCAGTTAATCATGGTAATCATGGAACTTGAAATGCATCTCACAACCAAAAGTCAGATGCTCTTGTAGCATGAAATTTCAAGTGTGCAGAAAAGACATTGTGAGCAGAGTGAGCTCTGGAGTGTTTATATTGTTCCGCTAAAGATCGATTCAAAAGATGGCGGTGATACTTTGCATGTTCATGTCATGCTTATGGCAGACAATCTTAGTAATAAAGTATTGTATAGGCTAAAATGATGCATAATTTTAGTTATTGTGCCCCTGGTAGAGGCAAATAAGATCACATAAAGAAAAACCCCTTATAATACAAGAATCAGTGCTTTGTGTTGTAAGTATTATGTAGCTTTAGATTCCATGTTCAAATGTGTTCTGATCTGATAAGACAGGGTGTGCACTTTCACAGTAAAAAATTGTAACCTTTAAATCTTCTTTGGGATCGTTTTACAAGTGTATTTGAAGTAAAAGCCTTGCTATTTTAGTTTGAAATACCTGAAATAGCCTGACCCTGCCATGCATAACACAGTGCAGCAGATGTGAAAGTCTGGTCAGGCATGCAACTTGAACTTCGACAAGTAATGAGGAAATTACAATCTTTACAAGACTTTGGACAGTGTTTTTCAATTTTCAGTGGCAAGAGTGTGAAGTGAAAAATGAGGAAATCAGCTGATCCAAGGAAATGTTGCATGCTGTTTGGTACATTTTGTTAGACTGGGCAGGCAACAACCAATGAAACAAACTGCCCATGTTGAGATACATGCAATGGGAGCTACATGTAGTCCCATTGAGGAATGCCATTTTTGGATCTCACAGTGGCTGTCAATAGCAGGTTCCCAGTCTACTTGTTCATGTACATGTATGTGGTCCCGGGGATACCGGTAGCTCATTCTTTTGGATCTTGTTGCACTGGGCTGGCAGATAAGCGACTTGTACAAATGATGCATTGGCCTGGAAAGGTTTCTAAGCCAAATGATCCTGGAGGTTTTTCCTTTGCCTGAATCAATTGCTTTTTGTCCCTGTATAGATGTGCATTTTATTTTCTTTCCTCTGCCAGACATCTGATACAGTTTGGTGTTATCCGTGGACTCATCAAAAGACTCCATCAGTATCCAGTCAGGGTACTTGATGGGGGAGAACAGCACCGGACTCACCAACAGCCACTGGACAGGTAATTGCCCTACATTCACTTCCCTCTTGCCTTTCCTGTGAAGTTGGTACTGCAGTTGATGACAGAGGGTGCTTTTCTTCCCAACAGTGATGTCCCATGGGACTGGCACGCTATTTGCACCACTGATACTGATGGATTGTACGTGTGGTACTCATCACCTTGCAGAGCAAAATAATGCCGCCATGACTTGAAGAGCACCTCTAAAGAAAACATGTTTTCCCTGATTTTATCTATTCAAATTAATGTGGAAGCATCCAAATTGAATGCAGTGTCATTTGTCTTCAGAGCTCAACTATAACAAGCTTTAAAGGGCGTTTTTTTTCTGTTCATGCCTTGATGCGAATTCTGAATATAGATTGCATCATTATGAGAAAACAGAGAAACTGAGGGGAACCCTCGCCCTGTGTTCCTAGTGGATAAACCCTTGTGCATGCCAAACAGTGGCTGCATGCATGCATTTGATTTGGATGCTTCCATATTTATTTGAACAGATTAAATCAGAGCCAACATGTTTCCATAGAGGGGCTCTTTAAATTTTGGGGGTTCTCCAAAGATGTCTGTTACCACATTCGGTGCAGCCATTGTGGAGCATGGCATGCAGCGAGTGCATAACTAAATGATTTGCGGGTTACAGAAAATGAAATGTAAGTTTAATACCCCTTGTATAAAAAGTTGTATTAAAAAATTAATTCCACAAGAAAAGACCTGCAGTTGCTATGATATAACAGCCAACTGTGATTGAGATGCCAAGACACCCACATACATTCTGCTACACATATGGTCAAAATTTGGGGCTTCCCAAGATAGCACCAAGTAGCTTCAGTCGAGGATCTCGATACGCCATCCAGTCAGGAGCAATGTATTTAATTCCTTCCCCCTACACTTACTTGTTCAAGTGTGACTGTGTTCAATTTGACACTCCATGACCTCTCATGATTTCTGAGCATCAAAGTGTTTGACCTGTTCAACTGGTTACTTTGGAAAGTATTTACATGTATTCATCCTGTGTGTTCCATTCAATGAGAAAACGGCACTGATCTACCATTGATTTCAATTTACTCAAAATTACTCAAATACAGTTAAGATGTTATGAGTGCAGTGGAAGGATGTTTAAAAAAAATTACTGAAACTATAAACAAAAGAGAGATTACACCGTGGGCGTACGTCCCAGGGAGGGGTGTTTATATCCCTCCTACTTTTTGAGGTGGGGGGAATGGGCTATTGAATGATCCCCCCACTTTTTGTATCGAGCAAATGACAAGAACACATTCAATGTCACACAAAAGAGGGAAAGTAATAAAAAAAAATAAATATGCATAAATGTAATACATATTACAAATCATGTTCATCAATATCACGGACACCAACCTCTGTAGAGTCATTTGATGTCATCCTTGGCTTAGTCAAATGATGCAAAGGATGCTAAACACCATTGTAAATAGTTTAGATAAATTGTTCCTGTAGAAGTAAAATGGCTCAAGTCAAGTTTTGTATAAAAGCCAGAAATACCTGGGTTTTTATTACGGGCTTTGCCTTACATATATGTATGTATATGCATAATATTGTATACTCAGTGTTTGTCTGCAAACTTGCGGAAAAATTTGGAAGCTTAATTTGATGAGACATCTGCATTAGTAAGCAGGAGGTTGTGGGTTCGAGTCCCACCCGAGTAAGCTTGCAAATTGTTTTGTAAGCTCTCTTACAAACACTGAGTATGCAGTGTTATGCATGTACATTGGTGTAAAGGCAAAACTCGTAATTAAAGTTAACATCTCCCAGTAAAGTACATCTTGAAACAGAAATGTTTGTTTCGATGTCTTTCACTTTTAACATTTCAATTAATTTTGAAAATTTAATCAGTGTGAGCTTATGACCCCCTGACCTGATCGGTTGAGGCACCTCAAGTAACACGAGATGGCTCACATATAACCAGAGATTGCACGTATCCATCTAAGCCTGAGACAGAAGCACCAGTCAGCAGGAGGAAAAAAATTGAACATGCTGTATATGGAGATAAGTGGTTCGCACACATTCAGTAATGAAGGCATAGGACTGAGGGTACGTGATGTGAATGTGCGCATACTGAGCAACTGGCAACATACCCAATTCTATCTTGGCCTGCTTCCTCCTTTATCAGACTCTATACCAATGGTAAAATATGCCAGAAATGTACCAAGCTCATTTCCCCACAAGTCTAGCCATTTTATATATATGTCATGTCAAAAATAAGATTTTTCCTGAATTCCTTACACATTCTTTTTGTTTTGAGTTACACATTCTTGAATGATGTGATGTGTGGCAAAAGAGCCTTGACTTGTCTAATTTTTACATCCCTGCAAAACTAAACAGACATGATTTTATTTTTCATGTTAAAGTTTTTTCCATGTGCTCACTTTAAAAAAATTTAATGAAATCATCAAGTCATATATTTTTCAAGTTGTAACTCACATTGTGGCAAGATGTAGCCAAAAGTGATTTTTCAAAAATTCCAAGTCAAGTCTGAAGTAGAAAACGGAAGCAATCCCTTTGCTGCAGCAGTGTGGCATCCAAAGGGGAGTCAACAATAAACAGGGCTCAAAAGCTCCGCTGAATAGATTAACCCCTTCGCGCCGGCGTAAAAATTGAGATCCTCAGCCCGCTTTTCAGCTATTATTCTCGGCCCACACTCGAGCGAACATGTTGAAAGACGGCAGACCCTGTCTCTTGCATATATGGTAATTGGTCTTTGTGCGTAGCCCAGAAATGAAAAGACCGATTTTGCATCATAATCACCAGCTTCACAATAGTCCCCACTTTGAAAAGAGGCAATGGGAATGTGGTAGGGTGAGTAGAGCCACATGCCACCGAACAATCAGCCTTTTCACCGTGTAATTCAAAGCATGCAGAGCACGCAGGGCCACAAACCGAGAATTTGTGGTTTGGCAGGTGGCCTTCGTGGCCAAGCGAGGCTGGAAATCTTGGAGTTGGCTTTCGGGAAAGAAATTCCCGTCATCAAGGGGTTAATACAGCTGAACGTGGTTATTAAGAGGTCCTTTGGGCTTCGCAGGTTACCTTGTTATTACAGGAACCTTGAATTATTAGTAATTAGTGAAACAATATTAAAGTAGACTGACCCCAGCACTTTTACTGTTTAGAAGCATTTTTAGCGCATACATGTACGCTGAACATAAGACCACCTCATTTGTTTGGGTCCCAGATGTAAATGAATAATATAGAAATGACATCATCTGATAAAGAGTACCTGACTAAATGTATGGGGGACTACAGGGACCCCTTTACTGTACATATTGCTCAACTGTACCCCAACAAAAACATGTTAAAATTATACAGAAGCAGGATTCCAGCCGATTAAGCAAGTGTGGCAGCTTCTGGACATCGTTTTATAACAAATAAAAAACTTATTTGTTTTGCCGATGTGCAAGTCTACCCCAACGCGTGCTGACCAGAAACCAAAGACTTTTTTGGGCCTTAACGAGGTTCTACTGTATTAACATGTACTGTACTGAATCTGACATTGTCACAGGCCTGTTCAAATGAGTGCAGACTATAACAAATTATTTCACCACTATCCGGCTCTATTAACTTGGGCTGAAACATTAAAGAGCAACAAAATGAAAAAATACCACCTTGTTTTTTGTTTCTTTCTCACTGTAGACGAAAACTGCTTTTTTGTTTGGCAATGTGAATACTTGTAAAAGTCATGGCTGTGGCTTTAAAATAATATGTGCTGCTATGGATGTCACTAACTAGTGACTGCAGCCAGTTCCCATAGACATGTATGTTTAAGGTATACCGCAAGCCAGAGCCTGGCCAGTAAGACATGGCCTCAATCATTAAAGGGTCCGCACAATGATTTATTTTCTTGCTCAACTGTTATACTCCTCTTTGATGTATTGAAACAATTTGACATCCCTTTTGGGTCAAATGTCTTGCAAAGTGCACTTTACACACTTAAATTCACCATGCTCTTCCAGACAACTTGAGTGCTGTTGCCGTTGTGTCATTCAGGGAAGACACTGCTCACTTTGCTTTTTGTCCAAATTGTGAACCTATTGTGAAGGACTGTTCATTGGCTTCTTGCTGTGTACATGTTCTTACAAAACAAGGAATCACCAACACCTGACCAAGAAAAGGAAATTTAAGGCAACAAACTTTCAAAAATTCAAGACATCACAGTTTTGCTAATAAATTTGAATATTCTCATTAGCAAAAAAACAACAAAGGTGTTAAAATGCCCTTTAAAAAGCAAAAAGTATAAGAGTCATTGGGTCGTATGAATAAAAAGTAGCATTTGCTTTTACTACCATTTTTTAAGCATATACTTGTGTTTGTATGAATAATAATTAAGCAAACACTTTTACTTTAGTGCAATTGCTAAAACATATTTACTTTTTCCTCTTTAAGCTTGTGCTTGACAAATAAGCAGTTGCTTCATTTTGTATGAATAAAAATGAGTCAGTTCTACAGAGTTTGAGTATTTACTTTACATTTTTAAAGACTGGGTCAGGGCAAGCTTGAAAACGAGGAGCATTTACTAATGTTTAAAATAGCAGCGTTCATGAATGTCATTTCAGGAAATTCCTGAATGAATGCCATGTCGGGAAAAGCTGTATGCCTTTGGGAGGGAATCTCAAGAAACCAGATACAGGCAGTTGTACTGATTTGAGAGTGGCAGAGCAATTTTCTTCATTTAGGTTTTTGTGATCAAAATTACTGCCATTGTGCTTATCTGCCATGCTGAGGTCTCAAGGTACAGCAGCGTGCTGCACTGTGTGTGTCTGTAAGTGCAGACAATGGAAGCCCTATTATGGGAAAACGTTCGGCTGTAAAGTCATCCACAAGAATAAAGCATTTGCTACTATTTGTACAAGCAGATGCTGAACAGTAAAAGAAACATTTTATTCCTTCAAATTCAAGCATTTGCTTATTCTCAATGGTTTTACTTCTCAGTAAATGCTTTTATTGCTTGCTTGAACTTCATAGCATTTGCTAGTTTTTATTCATACGACCCATTGAGACACAAAGTTGTATTTTAAAGGGTCGTATTTAAGAAAAAAGTACTGCATAGGCCCTTTAAGGAAACCCAAATTCTGTTCAGGAACACGGTCAAATCATCAATTTAAGGATCATTTTCTCATATTGCTGACATTGCAGATATATGAACGGTCACTTCAACTTTGATGAAATTTGCTGCAAGACGGGCCAAAGTCACCAAGAGTTGGAAGATTATGTGGAGAATGATGCTAACATATATGTACTCTGGAAATGACAAAAACGAGGACTTTCTGAATGCCTGAGAGTGGGTAAGGGTTAATATGTAAATTTGTTGGTAAATGGGGCCCAGTGTTGAAGTTTACTTGTAATAACTAACATTTACACATTTTGTTGAACATATTCAAATCACCATACAATGGAAAATGTAATTTTGAAATGGAATCATGTTTTTCTCCTATCTGTGCAATCTAATTTTTGTGTGGTATTTCCTGAATAATAAGGTACAGTTTTACTCAGTTTCAGTCTTGTAAAATCAAATAAAGTATCTTGGTATTGTGAAATGCCATGTCGGCCTGATTCTTGTGAATCGAGTTGTGGCATACTGTTCGGACGATCACAATGCAAGGCGACACAAACACACAGTTACAGTTGCAAGCTTCAGCAGTGTCGATTTTCAGACAACTCTTCGGGTAGCTAGAAATCCAGTCAGTGAATTACAAGTTGGATAAGATTATTCTCTCCCCCCAATCATCAGGCCGTTGGTACTGCACTGATGCAGCCTCCTCTACTTCATCCTTCCATGTCCGACACCACTGACAGGCCTTTCTCGTATCCCCCGTCGTCTGTCCCATGCAATGTACACACCTGTTTTTCCATTCGTTTTCAATGTCCTACCCAAAAACATGTTTCCAGCCTCACGTGCAGCACGCTATCTTTCTATTGGTTACTGGTGACCCAGGGTCACGCAACTTTCAGTGCCCCAGATACAGTGTGCCATATTTAGCTTGTAAACTTCTACAACACATGTGTACGCCATATAATGGTCGTCATGCGAAGCCATTTCCCTACACCATCAAGGTGCATGGAATGAACATCAGAATATGTGACCTCAAGCAGTTTTTTATATGTATGTTTTTCCAACCTGCCACAAAACATGCAAGGGTCAGAGACTACACATAGTTTACAAAGTACTGAAAATCTTTTCACACATGAATCAAAATACATGTACTGCACCCACAGATCGTGTTCGTAGATTGCCACACATTATACTCCAACATGACTACACCACAAGCCAACTCGTTACTGAAATGCACCTGCTTACAGACAACAGGAAAGCTTTTTTTTTCATCAAGAGGAAGTGGGATGTAATTAACATGTTGATTAGTAACAAATTTAAAACAATGTGTATCTACTTGGCATTTTTTCGTTACAAATCTTTAGAATCTGTTGGTGAGATTTATCCCTTGTCATAGAGTATGGAAATCTAGCCTCTCTTGTTGATCCACTGAGCTTTCCATTTCTCTTGGCTTTCCCTTGGGAAAATAAAATGGTCAACAGATCACTGATGGAGGCTATACTGTACCCAACCCAGAGATAAATTTTTTTCTGTGTTTTATTTTCTTGAGGCAGATTTGCTCAATGGATCACTGAGGAATTTAGTTTCCAGTGGTTGTGTCTTGTGACCATGAGCAGACCGTTCCAAGACCAACATGAGACCTCCAGTCTGACATCAAGTCATAAGCTATTCCAATAAACTGCAACAAAAGTGTTCCTTTTCCACTGTTCAACCTGTTACTTGTGACTGGTTTGTGACTGACCATGTGACTCACCCAATCTGACTACATACATGTATATCCACCACTGTTAACTAACACTTTTACAAAGAATTGCCCCTGTTAAGGACAGGCCGACATGTATTATGGTATTACCTGAATTATGTAAAAGCTTCAGCATCATTATGTGGGACCGTGGGCACAAAACAGAAAAACAGAAGTTTGGTCAAGTTGGTTTTTGTAGCGTAGTGGGTTAGGATAGGATGAGTATTGTGAATGTTCTTGGTTCAAATCCCTGAGGGCATTTAAACAAAAAAAATTCAGGTTCTTTCATGTCGGAGAAGATTGATTTTAAAAGTTTTATTATACATGTATATATTGCCCAAAATGTAGCCCTGGAGGTAGGACAAAAGCTCACTTCAATGAGTTCTCGATCAGGTACACCACCTGGGTCCTTTTCCAAATGGGATTATTTCTGTGTAAACTTCATTTGATATTAACAGCAATGGATAATAAGACTGGCTGCATGACAGGTCTTATGATGAGAACAACTATAATGTTACTAGTTTCAGTGTGCCACTCAAAGGGAATATCAGTGCCATGTACACGTACATGTATATGCGATAGCTTATATACATGAATCAGTTGTTCTCTTGATGAAAATGAAATCCCCAGCAGATCTCCTTGGGAAGCTTGTTTTACTTAAATTTCATGAAATAAAGTGGGTTTTTTTCTGAGACACAGCGCTCAGTGGATCGATGAGAGAATTTAGTTTCACTAAGGCACTTGAAGCAGGCAGTATATTTTTTCTTAGGACATGCACATATTTTAGTACATGTCTATGAACTACTTGTTCACTTGATACTGTTGCATTCAATCTACTTAATCTCCCACGGTCCACCTGATACTTAAAGTACATGTACCAGGGGGTCAGCCAGAGGCTTCATCCATTTTCCTTCGTCAACGTGATGTGTGTCCCCCAACACGTTTTGCTAGCCAACACTAAAACTTGTGCCAGGAGACGATGTCGAGAAAGTGGGCTCGTCTTTAGCCCACACACAGCCGAACTCTCTTTTGATGGTTGTGAGCCACCCCTAAACTCACTAGCTCAGTGCACTTTAGGTGGATTGACTTTTGTAATTTTTTTTGTATTTATTAAAATGGTAACTAAATTTTTAGTTGTTAACAAGTCAGTCTGACCTCATTTTCTTTATTTCTGTAGTGCCCTTGTTCAGTTATTTTTTTTTTGGATTTGGCACACGTAACAATATCACTACTTGCCCAAAAAAACTGAACTAGAATTTTTACTGAAACACAGCTAGATACAGTATCATCAAATGTCAGTAAAATGTGGCAATTTCAGTTGCAACAGGAATGGATTGCTTAAGTTATGAAACTGTAATTTGCATGATTAGGTATGGTGGAATGTCAAAAGGATGAGTTGTCACAAAATATATAATGTATCAAGGGTGATATTCACCTTTTACCAGTTTCCAAACAATCCGTGCAAGAAGCCAAATGGTATTGTAAAGTGGAAGGGGATTTCGTTTTAAAGGATATCTTTTGTGCCAGCTTTTTTTTTCAAACCTTAACTCTCACTGAGTTAAAACATGTAATTTCTCTCAGTTGATAGCAGAATTTCCAGCCAACCACAGTTGTCCTTGAGAGAGAACTCATAAATTTGGTAGAAGGGTACACATATTTTCACTTTTGTGAGATTTAGCCTGTGTCTCAGACTGCAAGCATTTCCAAACTCATTATTGAAACTACTTCTGAAGTTTATATCAGATCAGGTAGATAGAGTCGGGTTCAAAATCTATAGCATGCGAATACAAAAGCGGAACTAGCAAAATAAACAACTAACAAAACAAACCTTAATATTCGGCTCTTGGAGAAATTACAATTACAAGTTGTGGTAGTGAATAATACTATCTATAAAGAATCTGTAATCATCTGTTTCAACATTTGTCATCAGAATACTAATTATCATAAACTTTATTTTAAAAAGAGAATCTAAACACTGTTTGTCTCTACAAGGTGAAATCACAGGAAATCTTTCTTTCGTGAGCTGTGTGGAGTGCTCTGTCTGACGTATAACCCGGGTCATTTAGAAATCTAAAAATTTCAGCTTACTAATGGATAATTCAGTGAATCACAAAAGACATAATTTTCTCCAGTTCTGAACGGCGCAGAAAATACATTTGCTCATGTGCATGTGACAAGAACCTGTTATACACGAATGAAGTGGTGTGTGTGTGGGGGGGGGAATCAGACCAAGATCACCCATGTAATGAACTGACCACCACTGAGGGGACTTTCTTAAGTCTGATGGTGTGAGCCAATTACAAGAAACAAACTTATGTTTGTTCCTAAACTTCACACTCCACTTACCAAGAGTTCCAGTTCATCATGTCAGGTCCAATCACCATCTTTGTCAACATTAACAAAAAGTGTACCTTCTGGACATGTGATTGAAAAGGGGGTTACTGGCTCTTCCACACTGGATGAACTTGTCATAACTCTTCAGCTTCACTTGGATGTTCATTACGTTACCACAGCTTAATTAGGGTAGCTTTCATCCACAAGTCCCATTCTCCAGTTGCGAAAAAATGACATTGCTATCTTGAACCAACACCACATCTCTTTTCTGCACATTCCTCTTCTTATGATATCATTTGTCTACTGAGATAAAGGAAGTGCATATAGTCTCTCGCCCATCTGATCCAGGACTTGCCAATACGCTGGATAAATTTGACACTATGCTGATGGCTGTTGGTTTCCCACTTGGCAACCTTGCAGTAGCATGCCTGAGAAGCATTCAGTTTGTGCAGAGACGGGTTACATATTCAGGATCAGTGGGATGTCGTCTGATGGGTCTCTTCACTAGATGGGCTACACGTACCTCGTAGAACACATTCTAGACTTCATTTAATTGAAGGATTTGATCCCCATTGGCAGGACATACGGCCTTCTTGATACTCTGATGGAAACCTCTGTCCTTCCATTATACCACAGTGAATCTGCCTTGGAGAACTACCAGGTTGTACATTCGGTGACTCCAAACTGTCAAAGACTTTTCCAATGCCAACCATCCATGGCTTGCTTCAGCTCTGTGGAAGCTGTAAGTAAAGTGGCTTTCTTCGTCACTGTACAGCTCACTGGGTGGGGTAGCCTCTGAGAGATATAAATCTCTCAGTATCTGTAAGAATCCACCAGCACTGTAGACAACACCGAGATCTACGAGAACAGCTTGGGTAGTGATAATTAATTATCAGTCTGTATGCTTTCCCTCTGGCCCCTTGTTTGCCTCGCCACAAGTAGTGTAAGGGCCAAACAGACTCACGCCAATATATACCGAGGGTGGTTAAGGCTTCAGTCGTTCTACTGGTTATTGTGCCATCTGCTGGCCAGTCATATCTTGTTCCTGTCATCTGCATGGAACACAGCAGTGTTGTTTGCTGTTGACCATCCTGCGCAGGTTGACAATCTAGTATTTGAAACAGATCTTAGACATGGTATTCTGAACGGCACGTTATCCTTCGCTGTGGATGTAGGTTGCATACAGCTTGAAAACCCATGGTGACAGGGAACGAGAAGACATGGTATTCTGAACGGCACGTTATCCTTCGCTGTGGATGTGGGTTGCATATAGCTTGAAAACCCATGGTGACAGGGAACGAGAGGCACTTCTAATTTAATATACCTGAAGTGCACAAGTATTCCAGCACAGGCATTATCAAAGGTCTCTGATGACACTCTTTGATCCAGGACATCTCAGCTTGCTGGATGTCTTCTGTGGTGAAAATTTTGGCTGTTGCTCTAAAAGTCTTTCATACATGGCAAGAACTCAGGCCATGATTGTCAGCAGCTTGTAGCTACTTTACTTTGATATTGATTCTGTTGGCCAAGGTGTCAACTTCTTTTTTAGCAGCAACCCTAACCCCTTTGGTTCTCTCAGGACGTATGCGGTTTGTTGAATGGGCCAGTGCTCGAGAGACTGCAGCAGAAATGCTGATCCCTGCTGGGAAACACTCTTAGGTCCAATTTCAGAAGGAAACTTTCCCTGGTGATGAAATCTGCAACATTCAATTCCCCTGTGCGAGCCAGCACTCTGACAACTTCACCATACAACCAGGTTGGTCCAGAACCAAAGTTCTTGACTAGAACAGTATCGGCTGGTTGTAACTCTCTAACCTTAGAGCTTCATGACTGCTGCATTCGAGCTTGTTGTATTTTTACTCGTCTACCGAAGTTAGGCTTCAGCTGATTTAGCTTGGTTCGAATTTGTCGTCGATAGAGCAACTCACTTGGACTTTTCCCAGTTGTCAACTGTGGAGTCACTCTGTAGCACAACAGGAACTGCTGGAGTCGCAACTCCAAATCTCCACTTCGGATTTTCTTTACTCCAACCTTTACAGTTTGAACGGCTCTCTCGGCCAATCCATTGCTCGATGGATGTTTTGGGGCTGTCTGCAGATGTTCCACTCCATTCTGGCTCAGGAACTGGCTCAATTCTTCTGACACGAACTGTGTTCTGTTGTCTGTGATCACTGTCTCTGGTATTCCATGAGTAGAAAACAGCCTTTGCAACACCCTCACTGTTGTGGCTGCGGTGGAATTACCCACACGGATGGCCTCAATCCATTTGCTGAATGCATCAACTACTATCAGGACATCCTTACCGCTGATGGAGGCATAATCCAGATGTAACCTGCACCAGGGCTTGTCAGGAAACTCCCATGGATGCAGTATAGTTGGGGGTGGCATCTTTTGGTGCTCTTGGCAATTTTGGCAGCTTTGCACTTCGTGCTCGATCATTCTGTCGATTACTGGCCACCACATGAATGAATGGGCCAGTGCCTTCATCTTAACGATGCCGGGATGCGTTGCATGGATCTCGCGAAGAAGACGAAGGCGTAGAGCAGACTGTTCTGGTATGACGACCCTTCGCCCCCGAAGGATTACACCATCCTCGAGACGACTCTTCTTTCTTGGCTACAAATGGGGCAAACCCGTTTCCGAGATTCTTCTTCTCAGGCCAATCCTGCTGTAGGTAGTTCGCCACTCTGGACGACACTTGGTCCTTGCCCGTTAGACGCCGTATTTCTTCTGCAGTCACTGGTTGAGTATCTACATCTTCAATTAGGTTGATTCAGCATTTGTCAGACCCTCCTACCATCTCCTCTGAGCACCAGGCTTCTCCACCTCCTGTTACAGGTAAGCGTGAAAGCGCATCCGCATTTTGATGCTTTTTATCCTCCTTATGGATTATGTCGTACTCGTACGCTGAGAGTATCATGTGCCATCTGGTGGTGCGAGCAGAGGCCATCGGACTTGAAGATTTCTTATCACCGAACAAGGCCACCAAAGGCTCATGGTCAGTGACTATGCTGAAGTGCCTCCCTTGGAGGTACTTATGAAACTTCTTCAGCCAGAATATGATGCCTAGTCCCTCTTTCTCATACTGGGCATAATTCTTCTCACTGGAAGTCAAAGTCCTGGAGGCGAAGGAGATAGGCCTCTCACTCCCATCTGGCAAAACGTGACTGATCACTGCGCCGAGGCCATAGGAGCTGGCGTCCGTCTGCAGTAACAGTGGCTTCTCTGGATCAAAGTGGACCAGGACCGTGTCACTTTGAAGCAACGTCTTTGATTCCTGGAAGGCATCCTCTTGTCGAGGCCCCCACATAAACTTCGGATCCTCCATAAGGCCCCCATGGCACTTCCTTGTCTTCTTGTCCGTCTTAAACTCTGCCCGCAGCAACTCTGTCAATGGTGCAATGTGCCGTGAGAGGTTAGGGATGAACTTTCTGTAATAGCCAAGCAGTCCCAGATAAGTTTGAAGCTCTTCCTGGTTCTTTGGACTAGGGGCTTGCTGAATGGCCTCAATCTTCGACTTCAATGGGCGTAACCCTTCTTGGTTTAGCTTGTGACCCAGATACGTGACTGAGTCGCACAGGAATTCACACTTCTCCCGCTTTAGCTTCATACCGCTCTCTTTCAAGCATAGCAACACTATGTTGAGATTGGCGAGATGCTCGGCATCATTCCGGCCACTGATGATAATATCATCTAGGTACGGGCGGCACATGAGGATATCTGCAAGCAGCGATTCGATGGTTCGTTGAAAGATGGCGGGGGCTGAGGCTAACCCAAAGGGCATCCTCACATACTGAAAGAGGCCTTGATGGGTATTCACCGTAGTGTATTTTTATGCGGCTTCTTCCAACTCGATCTGGTGGTATGCATGAGACAAGTCCACCTTTGAAAATCGTTGTCCGCCCTGAAGATCTTGCATTAGATCCTCCAGTGTTGGCAATGGGTACTGCTCCAACCGTAGAACCTTGTTTGCGGTGAGCTTGTAGTTCCCACAGATCCGGACACTCCCATCGGCTTTATCCGCAATCACGATAGGGCAGGCATAATCAACAAATTTCACTGGCTCGATTNGCCGATTAAACTCTTGCACCTTGTCACACTAGCTCTTTGTGTGACCCGTACGATGGCACTTGTGGCATTTTTCTGATTTAAATGGGCATGCATCTGAGGTATGTGTGGCACCACAACGCCAACACTTCTGCTGGTTGAAGCTTCGGCTGGCCGCTTTAGCACTGTCATCAGACTGACGTTTGCCTTTGGCACTGCTTGGTGGTTTACGGGCAAACTTCGGCTTGGGTTTCAGTGAAAACTGCATTTTGTTGACCTTTGGATCTGCCGGCTGACTCTCTGGTTGGCTAATTTCCTTAATCTTCTCCACATCCTTGCTGGCCATTTCCATGGCGGTAGCGATGTTCAGGGCCTTCTCAAATGTGAGGCTGGTATCACTAAGCAGCTTCCGCTGGATAGCTGGTTCTCGACAACCAACCACAAGCCTGTCACGTAACATATTAGTCAACTCTGCAAAATTACAATTCTAACTTAGCTGGCGAAGCCCAGCAATGAACTGTGGCACAGTCTCACCTGGCTTCTGGATTTTAGTATAAAATCTATACCTCAACACAATCTTGCTAGGTTTAGGTGCATAGTGGCTTTTCAGCAAATCTACACATTCTTTGTACGACTTATCGGTAGGCTTATTAGGCTGCAATAGAGCTCGCAAGGTGTGATAACCCTTGCTACCCAAACTCGTAAATAACACTGAGCACTTCCTTTCCTCCTCTACAACCTTATTGGACTCCAGCCAAGCCTTAAGTAATTGGATCCATTCTTCAATCTGGCTAGAATCAAAAGCAGGTACAACACCTATCACAGCGCTTACTGTACTGGCCATATTGCCCAATGATACCCAGTCAAGCACAACTTGACAAAATATATGGCAACTAAATACAGTTTGGGCAGTAATCAAACAACACTATTACTATATTGCCAAATGCTTTGTAGCAACTACCGCTTACATACAATATGTGGCAACTAGCTTGGGCAGTAAACTGACAACACCATTACCATAAAGTGAAACTGATTTCACAATTAACACTGGCATAAAACATGTGGTAACTAGTTTGGGCAGTAACCAAACAACACCGTTACTATAGCAAAACTATTTGTAACAATCAACACTGGCATAAAATATGTGGCAACTAGTTTGGGCAGTAACCAAACAACACCGTTACTACACAGTAAAACTGATTTGTAACATGTTTGTCATAGCAATAACAAAACCAGGTAACAGAATAGTAAACTG